TTAAACTATCAAGTGAACCACTGTTATGTCTGATGCTTCACTACTCTATCTACAGGTCCCATTGTCCACTCTTCAGGGAGGTCACTGGGCTTTCGGTCTGTCGGCTTCCTTACTCCCCCGTTTCTTAGGACAGAAGGAACAGGGATTCTTGTCCCTAGTTTTTATACAGGGGCGACACAGCCTAGAGTAGGTGGATAATTTCTATCACTTACGAAATGCGACAGAAGGCCCAGGGCAGAGCTCCTGTGGACTGCCTTGGAGACAAGGGCCCTTGTCATCCTGGCAGCAAGCACTCACCAGGAAACTTAGTATGTGCTTTATGTGGATGGCAGGTGGGAGAGTTGCTGATGGCAAATGGCCTTTTACGTTTCAGTGTTTTGTCGACAACCCCCACCCAACCATTAAAAAAAAAAAACAAACAGCCCTAGGCTGGGCGCACTGGCTCATTCCTGTAATCCCAGCACTTGGGAGGCTGAAGCGGGTGGATCACGAGGTCAGGAGATTGAGACCATCCTGGCTAACACGGTGAAACCCCATCCTACTGAAAATACAAAATTTAGCTGGATGTGGTGGTACACATCTGTAGTCCCAGCTATTCAGGAGGCTGAGGCAGAAGAATCGCTTTAACCTGGGAGGCGGAGGTTGTAGTGAGCTGAGATCATGCCATTGCACTCCAGCCTGGGCAACAAGAGTGAAAACTCTGTCTCAAAAAAAAAAAAAAAAAATCAGGTCAGAAGTTCACAAGAAAAATAAGTAATGCTCAGAGCCTATGGGAATCAGGAAGAAGTGTAGGGAAATCACAGATACTTTCTTGCATCTGTTTATTCCTTTATAATTAACATCACGAATGAGTATAGTGAGCCAGGCTGAAGAATTTGACAAAAGATAGCAGGAGTCTCTAGAGTTTCCCAGTAGGAGAGAAATGATTTAAGAAGCTGTATATGGTTGGTGTTTGGTAGACACGTGACACAGACAGCCTGTGCCTCCTGAGGAGAGTGGGAAAAGCAGTGGTGGTCTTCACTGTGTTATGGCCAGGAGTACATGGGGGTCCAGAGAAGGGTAAGAAAGGAAATTGCTGAAAGCCAAATACCGAAGCCCACATTATGAGGTTTTGGAGGTGGGAATGAACTCTGAAGACTGGGCAGTTTACCAAGTTAGAGGCACCGACCTATTCCAACTTCAGAGGAGACCAGTCACCTCCATCCTGGACACAGGAAGCCAGCTAGACCAGCCTCTTTCTGAATACGGCTCAGCTCAAAGCCACTTGTAATTGATGTTTAGAGAAATACTAGAAGCAGCAGGATGGTAAACATTGAGTGGCTGCCCTATGCTACATGGGATGGTAGAATGCTTTACTCTTCAACTCGTGATAACAGGAATAGTCACTTCCTTTTATTGATGAATTTTTAGCCAAGTCACACAGTGAAGTGTGAGAGCTAGGGTTACAACTGAGTTCTGTCTGGCCTAGAGCCAGCTCTGCAATGTCCCATGCACCCTCACGCCGCTGCTCCTGTGGACCTCTTGTCAGATAGGAGCAGACAAGGATCATGATGGGATACAGCAGCTACTGCCCACAGAAGAGCCATTTCAAGAAGTGGTAAACTGGCCAGGCAAGATGGCTCACGCTGGTAATCCCAGCACTTTGGGAGGCGGAGGCAGAGACAGGCAGATCACCTGAGGTTGGGAGTTTGAGACCCAGCCTGACCAACATAGAGAAACCTTATCTCTACTAAAAATACAAAATTGGTGGTGGGGGGGAGCACATGGTGGTGGGCGCCTATAATCCCAGCTACTAGAGAAGCTGAGGCAGGAGAATCACTTGAACCCGGGAGGTGAAGGTTGCGGTGAGCCAAGATTGCACCATTGCACTCCAGCCTGGATAACGAGCAAAACTCTGTCTCAAAAAGGAAAAGGTGGTAAACTACAAGATGTCATGATGATGAATGTCAGGTTCTGTGCTTGGGACCAACCATGAGACAAAGCTGACAAAAAGATTCACCCTAGCTCCGTCTACATTAATAGAAATATGGTATTTGGAGCATCCAGATAGATACAAACCTGCTCTAATCTACATATCTAAAGGGTAAGTTGGTTCCTAGATCCCTTGCCTTAAAGAGTGGGCTGCTTCCCCTTGAGCAAAAAAGGCTACAGAGTGGGCCGAGCCCGGTGGTTCACGCCTGTAAATCCCAGCACTTTGGGAGGCCAAGGTGGTTGGATTGTTTGATGTCAGGAGTTCAAGACCAGTCTCAAAAAAAAAAAAAAAAAAAAAAAAAAAAAAAAAGGCTGGAGCGGAAGAATGAACTGTCTTCAAAAATATGAAGAGCTTTTACACATGAAAGAGATGAGAGATGTTCTGTGAGACTTAATGAAGCAAACTAAGAACCCCTAGTAGAAGCCACAGGAAGCCAAAGCCCCCTTGGCACAAGGAGAAATATGTCTGAAGACAGTCTCAGGAGATGGTAAGTTCCCCAGCTGGGGCATGTGAGGTAATCACAGCTAATGTTTGAGGATACCTGTTCTATGCCAGCTGTTTTGCTGAATGGATTACAAAAAGTATGTTAAATAGTGCATACCTGGCCGGGCGCAGTGGCTCAAGCCTGTAATCCCAGCACTTTGGGAGGCCGAGGCGGGTGGATCACAAGGTCGAGAGATCGAGACCAACCTGGTCAACATGGTGAAACCCCGTCTCTACTAAAAATACAAAAAATTAGCTGGGCATAGTGGCGTGTGCCTGTAATCCCAGCTACTCAGGAGGCTGAGGCAGGAGAATTGCCTGAACCCAGGAGGCGGAGGTTGCGGTGAGCCGAGATCGCGCCATTGCACTCCAGCCTGGGTAACAAGAGTGAAACTCCGTCTCAAAAAAAAAAAAAAAAAAATAGTGCATACCCTAGAAAGAAGTTCCTTGTAAAATGGGCCCGTGTTTTAGGTAAGGAAACTGAAGCTCAAAGCAGAGTCCAAGGCCTTTACGTCATGGCTCTTCCTCAGCACAGGCTAGAGACCCACATGGGTGGGGATGCTCAGACAGAGACTGTAGGATTAGAAGGAACCTGCACCATAGGCTTTGAAGGCCTTTCCCTGAGGATTAATGATTCTGATTTTCCCTAAGACAGGATTCTAGGCTACCCTAATAGATCAGAGCCAGAGCCAGGCAGAGGCTGCGATGACAAAAGAGAGAGGAGGCAGAATGATAGTCCAGCCCCACAGTAGCCTGCTCCTGTCCTTCTGAAGTCTAGACCCTAGCACCTCCACTCAGCCTCACCCTCCTCGCTTCCTCTGCAGAGCTCTCAATTCTAGGAAAAGGAAATGGCCGGAGCTGGCAGTGAGGAGCTGTGACCACAGGGTGGCAGCAGTGCTTCACTGTGGAGGGCGACTTCATAGGAAGGGCGATGAGGCGGGTCGGAAGCAATACGCTCTAGTGAAGATGGGTGGTCTCTCTGCAAAGATTTAAAGCCACGCCCATTCAGTGGGCTCCAAAACCCTTTAGCCTTCTGTATCTTAATAATTTTTTTTGAGGCCGGGCGCGGTGGCTCAAGCCTGTAATCCCAGCACTTTGGGAGGCCGAGGCGGGTGGATCACAAGGTCAAGAGATCGAGACCATCCTGGTCAACATGGTAAAACCCCGTCTCTACTAAAAAATACAAAAAAAAATTAGCTGGGCATGGTGGTGCGTGCCTATAATCCCAGCTACCCAGGAGGCTGAGGCAGGAGAATTGCCTGAACCCAGGAGGCGGAGGTTGCGGTCAGCCGAGATCGCGCCATTGCGCTCCAGCCTGGGTAACAAGAGCGAAACTCCGTCTCAAAAAACAACAACAACAACAACAAAAAATAATTTTTTTTGAGATGGAGTTTCACTCTTTTTGCCCAGGTTGAAGTGCAGTGGTGCAATCTCGGGTGAGCCACTGCACACAGCCAAAAAAATATTTTTTTAAATAAAAAAAATAATAAGATACAGGCCAGGCACGGTGGCTCACGCCTGTAATCCCAGCTACTTGGGAAGCTGAGGCAGGAGAATCACTTGAACCAGGGAAGCAAAGGTTGCAGGGAGCCGAGATCGTGCCACTGCACTCCAGCCTGTGCAAAGAGTGAAATTCTATCTCAGAAAGAAAAACAAAAATTAAATCCTCTGCACTATCATGAAGCAGAATATATCTTCTACCCACAGGCAAATCTGACTAGCCCTCAAGAGGCACACAAGCAGAGGATGGGCTGTCGGGGCCTGTCAGCTCCAGACGGAGGACCAGGCCTGGTCTCCCACTCCTCTTCCACTCCAGGATAGCCTACTTAACCCCTCCTGACATGAGTTTCTTTTTGGGGGGATAAGGGGAACAAAGTCTCACTCTCACCCAGGCTGGAGCGCAGTGATTTGCCATCTCGGCTCACTGCAACCTCCATCTCCCTCCCAGATTCAAGAGATTCTCCTGCTTCAGCCTCTCGAGTAGCTGGGACAACAGGCATGCACCACTCTGCCTGGCTAATTTTTTTATTTTTAGTAGAGACGGAGCCTCACCATGTTGGCCAGGCTGGTCTCAAACTCTGGTCCTCAGGTGATCCGCCTGCCTCAGCCAACCAAAGTGTTGAGATTACAGGCGTGAGCCACTGTGCCCAGCGGACATGAGTTTCTTGTGCTTTAGTCTACCCATTAGGAACGAGGGGAAGTGATAAACTGAAGCTCTCCAACCTGTTGAGGGATTGGGGGTTCTTGTAAGGCCCCCCAGGGCCTGGCTCTGACACAGCGTCTGCAACTAATGATGCTTCTTGAGCTCTGGAGACAGAATTTATGCATCTAATAAAGTCTATCACTCCAGGCTTAGGGGCCGGGGGCAGGACGCTGAGAGCAGGAAGTCCTGGGGGCACCATGGGAAGGGATCCCAGGTGGCTCCTAATGAGCCCTGCATTTCCATTTGCCTGTTCGAGATTCCCCCTAAGGCTGCTGTGAGGCTGGGGGTGGGGTGACAGCAAGTATAAGAGGCCGGGGTGGCTGTCGGAGGGTGGATGGCAGAATGGATTCTAGGCAGGCTGCTGCGCTGCTGGTGCTGGTGCTGCTGCTGCTAATAGATCCCGGCTGTGCTGAAGGGCCAGGAAGCCGTCAGGAAGACCAGCTCTCACAGGTAAGTGAGCATCCCATCCCCTTATCACCCATACCTTGTCGCCTCTACCTTGGTTGAGACTTGTGCTCTAGGTTCTGATACTTTCTCTGGTTGCCAAGGTTGTCATGAGGTCCTCACATCTGAGGAAATGGTTCTGCAGCCTCCTACCACTCGCCCCTGGAAGCCAGTCCCTTCCCCTTATGACTTATGTGTCCAGAGTATTTGCCCGTCTTCCTTCCCTGATAGCCCCTGGCACAGGAGGAAGACAGTGGACCCCGCCTACCACAGGATGCCCAGAGCCCTGGGTCACTCTTGCGTTCCCTGCTCCAGGCAATGGAGAGACCTGGCCGGAGCCAAGCCTTCCTGTTTCAGCCCCAGAGGTGAGGAGTCTGAAAGGGACAGGAGCATGGCAGGGGCTGGGGGTGGAAAGGGCAGGGGACAGAGGAAGAGGAAAAGGAATGGGGCTAGAGGAGGAAGACTGAAGGGATCTGAGGACTAATCTCTCCTAAGATTTGGCAGAAATACCCGGGGATCCTGGAGCAATCAACGGCTGAGTCCTCGGGCTGGAGAGGGGCTGCATTCCCAGTTCTGGAGCCTGGCTGTCCCTCAACGCTTTGGGAAGAAGTGACGTCATCCCTTGATGTGTTTGCATGCAATGTCCACACCCAAAAGTGCCAACGTGTGCCCCCCAAATAAAGGTGTCTGATTTCCGAATCCATGTGTGTCTCGTGTGACTTTAGAGGGCTGGGTGGACGTCCATGGGCTAGAACTACTGCTCTTCCCCCTCCACCAAACCCAGCCTCCAGCAAGGCAGCTGACAATGGTCCTGGAGGCCTCTGCACCCAGCCTCTTCCCTCCAGAAGGGAAAACATGAGAATGGCTGGGAAAGGAGCTCAAGAAAGGCATACAAAAGTAACGTGGTGACTTCCTCTGCCATCCGTACAGCTCAGGGAAACACAGAAGAAAGGGCTTAAAAATCCACAAAGCAGCATATTTATTCCAGGCTCTAGCAGACAGCCCCCTGATTTCATTCCCACTCATCATCACCAATAAAATGACGACGGATCCTGGGCTGGCTGAGGCCCTGTGGTCCTTGGCTCCTTGCCCTGTGCCTTCTCGCCTCAAGGCAGGCAGTCTGTGTCAGAGGTAGAGATGGCACCCACAGAGGGTACCAGAGCTGCGCAGATACATGAGCCCAGAGGCAGGAAGAGCAGGGAGCAAAGGGCGCACATCCATGAGTCCAGCTGGGGCTTCACTTGCTGCCCGCCATGATCTTGAGGTACTGCAGGGCACGGCGGGCAGCCTCTCCACGGGCTGCCTCCCTGGTGGTTGCTGAGCCATGACATACAGTGGCCGGCTGGGTGGACAGTTCCACCAGGCACTGGCAGAGTCCACTCAGGCTCAGCTCCTCTGGAAAGCAAGAGAGAGGAAGGAGGCAGTGTTGGGTGGGAGGCAGCCCTGGGGAAGGGTATGTTCACGTCATCATCACCCCCTTTTACTTGCTCCTGTCCAGCCCCCACCAACCCTGGCTTGCTCCCCAGCCAGCCATACCAATATCCAGGTAGCTGACATGGAAGGCCTGCTCCTCAGAGAGCTCAGTGAGAACACGGCAGCAGGCAGGGCCCAGGGCACCCAGGGAGCCCAGGGAGCAACTGCGGAGGGACAGAATCTTCTCTCCCACTGAATTTCGTAGAGAATCCCAGGTGCAACCTGGGCCCCGGTTCCGAAGACCATCCACGCGGGAGCCCACACCCTGACAAGATGGGAACAGTGAGAAAGATGCGGCAAGAGATGGTGGGACCCAGGCATTTAGACATTTGACATCAAAGGAGAGAAAAGCACAAAGAATGCTTCCTCCAGCCCGCCTCCCCCGAGTCGATCCCTGCATGGCCCCTTCTAACTACCAGGCCCCGGGCCAGAAAGCCAGTCATCCCTCCTCAACCCAGGAACAGAACGACAGAGCGGGCCTACAGTCAAAGCTGAGTTGGCCCCAGGAAACCTGGGTCTGGTAGGAAAACTGGCAGAAGCAGGCCTAGGGCCCAGAGAGGCTCACTGCTGAGTCACAGACCCAAGGCCCTGGAGCCCTGCCCTGGCATGGAGGATGGGCCACTCACGATGGAGAAGTGGTCATCATCAGGCTCCACCTCATTACCATCCCGGGCATCCAGAGGAACCGTATGCACTCGAAGCAGCATTTTGGCCGCCGCATTCCGCTTTGCCAATTTTTTGGAAGTGCCACTCCCTGCATGTGGAGAGAGGGCTGCTGGGTTCTGATTCCCCACAGACCCAGTGCTTCCACCCAGGTCATACTTGGATTGAGGGTCTTCCTGGAATGTCACCTGGAAAGGGGAGCTCAAGACTTGCCCATGCACCTGAGAACCTGGTCGGCCAGAGAGAAGGGGACAGACAGGGTGCCAAGAAACTAGAAGGAAGGGGCTGAGCCAGGGACTGTGAAGCAAAGAGAGCAAGGGCTGTACCAGAGTGAGGCTAGGAGCTGCTTTGGGGCTGGGGCCAGAGGGCTGTGGGAGAGGAGCTGCGAGAACCCCAGTTACCAATCTCGATGAAACGCTCCACTCGGCAGGTCATGGTGAATTCTTTGCGGTGGGCTGGCCCCGACTCCTGGGTCACTGTGTACTCCGGCAACCGCCAGCCTTTCTGCACCACCAGCTCCTTGGAAGGGAGACACAGGGTGCATGAGGCTGAGTGAAAAAAACGCTTCTCACACCCACACTGGTCCCCAAGCAGGAGCCTCAGACTCTAGGTGAGAGGAAGGAGAGAGGTGGGTGGAAAGGGCCTCAGTACCGGGAACCGCCTCCGCCCCCAACCACATACCACCTTCCCTCATGACCCCTGGCTCAAGGGAAGACAGGCATGCACGGGAAATGAGGATGGGGCACACCTGTAGAGCACCAACGGGGTTGCATTCAGACTGCTGAGGGGAGACGGGGGGCTGCATTTCCATGGGGGGGCTCCTGCAGGAAAAAGGGCGCCGGGCCAACGTTGAGCTGAACGGTTCAGTCTGAGCCTGCCCATGAGCTTCAAGCCTAACCACTGCTTTAGATTCCCGACTACCATCTCCCAATTCCCACCCGGCAGGCAGCTGTCTGTCCACACGTCTAGCCTGCTCCCTCCTGCTCTAGCCAACTTCCTTCCCGCTCCCACTCAAGGCAGGCCTTCTCCAGGCCCCAGCCCATTTCCATTCTGGAACACGGGTATCCTCTAAGCCAGGACAGTGGGGGAAGGGCTGTACTTCCAGTCCCAGAAGTGCCTGATGGGTCTCAAACACAGAACTGACATGCAGTCAACCCCAAAGTAAATGGGGCTGCAAGCCCCTTAAACGTGGTGGAACATCATCCATAAGGCTATTTGAAAAATCACAAGTGACCTCCTGGCCCAAGAGCTTACCAGCAGGTGTGATTTCTTCAAGTTCTGCTTCCCACCTATTCCATTCTGCTTATTCTCAGGCTTCCTCATGCCTGACCAGCCGGGGTCCAAGGACTGAGCGGCCAGAAACCAGAATCCCTTCCTCCACCCCCCTCAGGCAATCAGGGGACACAAGATACCTGGTTAGGACCACAGATGGAACTGGGGTAGCAGCTGCTGCAGCAGTAAAAACCGGAACGTCCTCAGGCAGCGAAGAGTCTAGGGGAGAAAAAGAACTTCCCGAGGGGAAGGGGGCCTTTGATTCACACCCACGTATAGCGGGAACAGAGGGGTAGGGGACCCAGGTCTTCCTGACCTGCCCAGCCCCTAAGAGCACTTCCAAATTGAGCCAAAGGATCAGGGAGGCTCAACCAACAGCTTCCTTCTGGGATCCTGTTGCTGCCAAACACTGGCAAAAAGACCGAGAAAAGAGGGTCTCAGAGAAGACGGTCTCTTTGTACCCAAAAACCAAGGAGCAACAAACTCCGAGCTGCGTGTGGAGGAAGGATATCTTGCTAGAACAAGGAGGCATGGTGGGAAGCAACTCCCTTTAGTCTCAGCCTCTACCCCTCTCCCTCCCTAATCCAGGCCCCCAAACTACTGCCACAACCCCTCTGTGGGGCTAACCAAGCCCTCCACCCCAAAAATTCTTCATAGCAGCAGAGGCCCTGGAAGACCCTGTTCACATCCAGAGGGACTCTCAGGAAGAGGTCAGGTCAGGGTGGCTAAGTGTCACCAGGCCAGGCCTGGGGGCAGAGGGGGTGGTGCAGGGCCTGGGTTCCTCCCTCACCTGCTGTCCTCCAGGGCCGGCTCCAGCATGCTCCCCCCTTTGAGGTGTTTGAGGGCCACCTCGGCTGCCTTGTGCTTGGCTGCCTTCTTGCTGGGGCCCTGACCTGAGAGAGGAGGCATGGGCAATACTGGAGGTCACTGGAAGGACAGGAGAGAAACCAGCATCCCACAGCCTCTCTTCTCACAGCCAGAGGGAATCAATCAAGCCCCCTCTGACCAACCTCCCCCTGCTGAAGACTGGAAGTGTTTCACTAATTGCTGGAAGGAAGAGCCCTTATCTTTCCATTAGCTTCCAGAATTAAGCCATGCCAAGCAGGACTTCTGAGTTCTAACGCCTTAGGTGGACTGCTGAGCTCAAATGCCTTAATTTCCTTTGCAAAGCACTTTCTTTTCCCTCAATAAATAGCTGGAAAAAGAGAGGGTAGGCTCTGGAGTAAAAGCCCCATGTGACCATGTACCAGCCATTTACTATCTCAAATACTCAGTTTCCTCATGTTCAACTTGAGCGGCCGGTGGGGGGCGTGGATACTGCCACCTACATCACTGGTTAGACTGAGGTTTAAAATTAAATGGGAATTTGGTTAAGCACCTGGAACAGAGCCCAGGACGCCAGGGACTCACTCCCCCAAATATTCCACTGGGATTTCAGTTATCTTCTCTTACTTTTCCTCTGGGTGATGAGGATCCGCCAGATCACTGTGGCAGTCCTGCTCGCTCCTCTAACTCTCCCACGTCCTACCCACCTTCTCACAACCCTGTTCTCCCAATCCAGTCAGTGGCTTTTCCCCTGAAAGCTCTCCTTCCCTCACTGGCCTTGAAGAGGACTGTGAAGACAGAGACTCCAAGAAACAAAGCCATGGGGACCTGCGAATGCGCACCCCAGCCAGGCTGCCCAAGCCTTCCTCACCAGTGCAGCTGGTGTCGCCAACGGTGACCCGGAAGGTGAAATTAGGCTGGTGGGCTTGGCCCTCGGCTTTGAGAAGGTCGTACACAGGCGTCTTCCCTATTCTGGTCCCATACTCCTGCAGAAGGCTGATCGGGGTCTTGCCTGGGTTGGCGGCCAGCATTTGCTCTATACTGGGGGAAGGGGCACAGACCCACATCACACCTCCCCTCTCTGCACCCACCTGACCAAGCACTGCCATACCAGACCTAGGCACATTATGGGGGACATAGGGTCCAGGGGAACCCCAAGCAGTCTACCATCCATTGGCTGGGTTCCAAGTGGAGGTGCAGGCTGGAAAAGTAGGGTCCACTACCCCAAAGTAAGGGGGTAAGAATGCACTGCTCCTGCCTCAGTTAAGGTAGGCACGTTTCTGTGCCCCAGTGCAGGTTGAAAATGCATACCCCCTGACATAGTGCAAGCCAGGAACCCAGTACCCACCAAATGCACTGAATGTGGGGGCATAAAGCCCAGTGTTCCAGTGCAGTCTGGGAACCGGGCCAACCCCAAACTATTTAGAGCTGGAGGCAGCAGCCACTGCCCCGGTGCACGCCGGGAA